CGTTCACAGCTTTTAGGAAAGATCGTAATGTTTTTCGATTGTGTGGTTGTTTGGTGGCGTGAATTTTTTCTATGTTTTGTGTAGACGGGATGATTGTATTATTCTTAACGATTGTGCATGTGTTTACTGGTTGGTGTCGCCTTTTGGTGTGAGTGTCGCGCTTGTTGGGCTGGTTGTGTGTGTTACCGTTGTGTGACGACGTATGGGTGCGTGTGTTGTGAGTGTGAAAACCGTCCTGTGGTTTTATGTGTTGTGGGCATAAAGTATTGGCAATTGGATTGAGTGAAAAGTTGCGTGGTGTGAGATTAGAATGGTGGCATGTAAATATTTGGGGTTTGGGCAATGAATGCAGGCAAGGGTTTCCATGTGTGAAAGCTTTGGGTGCTGTGCGAGTCCTTTGGGACAGGTTTTGGCCTAGCCCGTGCTTGCATTCATTTGACACATGTTTAAAGTGGTAGATAGTATTAGACAATGGGACGCCAAGTTGGAAAATAGTGCCGCGATTATAATTTAGTTTTAATTTATACTGATAAAGGGTTTTTAAGGTAAGAACTCCAAATGGCAAGGATGCATTTACCACGTGGAAGTTCTCTCTACGGGTTATTTGGCCTATTGTCAGAGGGAGAGTTAAATGTCCTATTATTTTCGTGAAACTATTTAGGGTGGATAGATCAAGGGAAGGATTTTTAATACTTAAGTTGGGAAGTTGTGCTTTTAATCTATTGTATAAATGATACGGCAATATGTTCGAACCTGCGTCTGGTTCAATTAGAAAGGTACATGGTAGGTCCTGGGTCAGATACAAGTCCAAAGTCAATTTGATGGTGTCATTGGGTGGATTGCCTACCTCAGTCTCGAAAGGTCTCCACTGTGGCGTCTTCGGCTTGGGATGGCTGGCTTGGAATGTCTGTTGGGCCGGATCGGGACCGTTTGCACTGTCCGCGCAATTGAAAGGGAAATCTAGTCATTTGTACTGCTTCCATTCGAGTGGACCGCGTTGTCGGTACACTGGGCCCGTGTCGCGTGGATTGCTTCCGGGTGCACGGGTACGGCATGGCGGGTGGCGACTCCTCGGTGGGCGTCAGGTTGTTCGGACACGTACCGGCGGCGCGGGCGTCGGTTGCCCCGGGGGTGGCGCTCCGGAACTCCGTCTCACCTTGCGTGGATCTTGCCCCTTGTAGCGCGGCGGTCAGTTCTAAAATTACCGTCGCCAGGGTATGTCTTGTCGCTTCGTTCGTTGTCAGTTTCTTTCCGCTCGTTGCCAGTTTCTTCTCTCTCGGTTTGTCATTGCCTTTTGTTTTGCTGGCGCCTGGGCTAATTTCCATCTTTATCCTGTCGACTTTATGTAATATAGTCCAGAGTTATTACACTGCAATATTTGATGTATTACACTGTTGTAGAATCCTGTCGACTTTAGGGAATATCTGTGGTATTCTACTATGTTGGGAAACCTTACTCTTGGTGTTGAAGGTTGTTGAAGTGGTGACGCAGTCGTGGTGAATGATGCAGTCGTGGTGGATGATGCAGTCGTGGTGGCTGAGTGAAAGGATTACACACAGGGGAAATAAGCCGGGACACTTGATGGTTGAAAATATAAGGCAACGAGTTGGAGGAAAGAAAGCTTTTGAGAAAGGCAGAGCGGTTTTTGATGATTAATTAGTTGATCACATGGCGATGATTGGATTTAGATGAAATGAGCGGAGAGAGAGGTCTCTAGTGAGCAGACATTACCTTGGTGGGGTCGAGTCGATGACTGGGTCTGAACTCGGTGGGAGTGAATGAAGAACTGTAGATGTTGTTCAGATGGGAGCCAAAACACTACTAGGTCCGAACTCGGCGAGAGCGAGTGAACAACTCTCCATTCTTGCTTTTCGATTTAACACCACGAGTTGGCTTCCTTCCCATTGGTCGAAAATGGAACGTCCCCGTTTTCCTATTGGTTGACCTACTTAAGGGGAGACTTTCTAATTGGACCGGCGGCTGCTTTGATGGAAGATACCGCCGATCTTGTCATGGAGTGTCGGGTGCTATTTCGACTTTATTTACTTCCGCGTTATCAAATACGTCCGGTCTTGTTCCGGAAATTGGGCGTCTCTCAAACTTTTATAACTTCTGGTCACCAGATACGTCCTGCTTCGCCAGGAAGTATTGGTTTAAACTTAGCTCGCAGGGTTCCCGGGGTCAGAAGGTTAACTGTGACGTTATTAATAATTATGTTCTCTTCTAGATCTACTTCCCATGTCTTTTTGTTACTTTCTTTCCTCCAGTTACCTTGTTCTTTATTAGATCTTTGAAAATCATACATCGTACATGCATAGTGGGTCGGGGGTGCATACAATTATATACAAATTATGACATATATTTATTTAAGGAACGACTTGTTCCATTACATATATAGTTAAAACAAGTTAGCGATAAAAATCAGCAAGGTTGAAGGTAGTAGTTGGAAGTAGTGACGTCATCGTAGTGACTTAGCATCGATGATGATTAAAGTCAAAGTTTACGTAACAGTTTTATTTCCCAAATTCCATTAAAATTTTTATTAAAAATTATCATCATTATTAAGCAGGTTTCAATGTGTCTGTATTCAAATTATTAATGACATTTTTGAAAGTAAAACAGTGTAAACGGTATTAAATATGTAAAATGGAACACACACACACAATGGCTTAAAATATAATAGAAAGTAAGCTGAATGAAGACAAAAAAAAAAATGTTAAGAATTCCCTATGAATTGAAATGAAGTGATTTTGCCTATAAAATATAAAAAAATTAGACTGGATTGATACACATTTAAAAGGGTTAAAATGACATTTATTAAGCCAAACAGTGTGAAAGTAGATGCAGTAGAGCTTCTATTTAGAGGATGCCTAAAATCGTAGCTTAACCCGTCTCTCCAAGGGGCAGTCTCTTATTAAAGGTCTATTAGAGATTCTTTAATATCAATTAGAATCTCCAATGAGAGACCACCTACAGGAGAAACAAGTTGAGTCATGTTTTTAGGTGGTCTTTCTTAAAAGACTCTATTTACATATATTAAAATCAACATTTTCTTACTGTTAAGTTTAATTACTGCTAATCTATCTATCTATATATAAATGTGAGTGTGTGTGAATGTATGTGTGTTTGTCTGTCCTTTATGCCTGACCAAACCACTCATTGGAACGCCATGAAACTTTGGGAAGTTATTTAGTATAGTACTGGGAAGGTTTCTGAAAAATAATTTCTTGAATATCCTTAGAATTATTTGCAGATTTGTAGATTTAACTCGCAAGCAGCGCCACCATTGCGACGATGTAACAAGTTTTTTATCTATAAGTTTTATTATCACTAAGTTTATTATCTTAAAGATTATTTATCAAAACGGGTAGTTGGCGACATCTGTACGCTCCAGGAACCTGGGTTACTTAAATAAAAAATTTATCAAAAGTAAGATTATCTCAGGGTGACACGGCAATTTATTTGAGACAAGAATAATGATACAATTCCAAGGCAAAGATACTATTCCTTTAACTTCCAATTACCGAGGGAACCAATTAATGTTGATTTTATTCAACACATCGAGTATTTTTCAAGGGACCGGGAAAAATGTTCACTAGATAAAACGATGATTTTGTAATGTAGAAAATTAGGAAAGACAAAATTCAGGATGACACGGCAATTTATTTGAGACAAGAATAATGATACAATTCCAAGGCAAATATACTATTCCTTTAGCTTCCAATTACCGAGGGAACCAATTAATGTTGATTTTATTCAACTTATCGAGTATTTTTCAAGGGACCGGGAAAAATGTTCACTAGATAAAACGATAATTTTGTAATGTAGAAAATTAGGAAAGACAAAATTCAGGATGACACGGCAATTTATTTGAGACAAGAATAATGATACAATTCCAAGGCAAAGATACTATTCCTTTAGCTTCCAATTGCCGAGGGAACCAATTAATATTGATTTTATTCAACTTATCGAGTATTTTTCAAGGGACCGGGAAAAATGTTCACTAGATAAAACGATGATTTTGTAATGTAGAAAATTAGGAAAGACAAAATTCAGGATGACACGGCACACAGGGACCGGGAAAAAATGTTCACTTTATCGAGAGATTCAATTTTACGAGTTTCAAATTATCAAAATATATCTATTATTTTTTTTATAAGTTAATAGAGAATTGTTTTAACAAATGTTCGTTAGACAAACCTTTACTCGGGTAAAACCCGGGCGAAGCCGGGTACATCCGCTAGTATTAATATATACAGTTATCAGCGTCATGCATTCTTTCTTAATTCTGTCACCGTTTGCTTTTGGTTCAGTGGTAGAATGCTCGCCTGCCACGCGGCCGATGCATTTTTTTTTTTTTACAATTTTTAAAACTCATTTATATTATTTAAAAAATAGACTATACAAGAAGTATACAATAAACTATACAAGAAGTATACAATAAACTTTCTACTTATATATTTGCCTTATTCTGTCTGTTTGTCTGTTTGTTTGTCTGAAGCTCACGGATGGGAATTTTCATAACCATCGGTGGTTCAGTGGTAGAATGCTCGCCTGCCACGCGGGCGGCCCGGGTTCGATTCCCGGCCGATGCATTTTTTTTTTCAATTTTTAAAACTCATTTATATATTATACTAAATCCAAAAGACAAAAAACCTCTCGCAATCAGTATCTTTTATTACAAATAACGGACGCTAGCTTTCGAACTATTAGTTCTTCAACGGGCGTTCTTACAAAACGAAATCAGATTCTTATTAATATATAGAGGTAATCGAAAAAATATATACAATTATACTAGACGTCATTATACTAGACGAATGGCCCGGGCAACGCCCGGGTTTTACCCGAGTGCGTATATATTTTAAAAATGTTTTAATTAAAATACTATTCGTTACAATTATAAATTGGCGCCGTGGATGTCTCTCTTGTGAAACGTCCCGCCCCAAACTGTGTGTGTCTTGAAAATATAAAAATAAAAATGTGAACGGAAAAATATGTCCAGGGTAGCCTAGTGGTCATGGCATCTGCCCGGTAAGCGGAAGGTCGTGGGATCGATTCCCATTATTATTATTATTATCATTAGATAATGATAATGATCATAATGATGATGCGCGCGCATCCGTGACAGAAACGGCCGGCCGGCCAGCCGGCCCATGACGGTCGTGACTATATATAGGGACTAGACGAATGACCCGGGCAACGCCCGTGTTTTACCCGATTGAATGTTTTTATTCAAATACTATTTGTTACAATTATAAATTGGAACCGTGGATTTCACTCTTGTGAAACGTCCCGCTCCAAACTTTACATGTACATTAGGTCAGCTGGTTTACCCCTCATTTTCACCGCTAGAGGCGCGAGCGAATTGACTTTTTGTAAATATACATAATTATAAAGATAGAAGCTTCTATAGAAGATAATGATCATAATGATGATGCGCGCGCATCCGTGACAGCGATGAGGAATTGAGGAAAGACGGTCGTGACTATATATTAATGACGAATGACCCGGGCAACGCCCGGGTTTTACCCGATTAAATGTTTTTATTCAAATACTATTCGTTACAATTATAAATTGGCGCCGTGGATGTCACACTTGTGAAACGTCCCGCTGCAAACTTTGTGTCTGAGAAGCGATATTTTTATAGAAAGATGATCTGGCTTTTGTTTTCTGCTCGAATGAATGTTTTTCTGTTAGAATTTTGTTCCTGCGTACAAAATAATGAACTGGTTTCACCCGTGGTCTCTGCTTTTTGGAATTTTTCCCGATATAATTTTGTATCTGATAATCAAACATGATACAGCAATATCGTCATCATCATTTTCTGACTAAAAATATATAGTTTTAATAATTGATTTATATATTTTTTAAAATAGCCTATCGTCTTCCCCGTATTTTTTTTACTTATGTATGGACATTTTGGGTTGAATTAGTGAACTACTGCGAATTTGTATACCGGACATACAAACAAACATACAAACAGACAAACATACAAACATTCATTTTTATATATATAGAGATTTACTCTTCATTGTTGGCTTTTTTATTATATTTACTCTTCATTGTTGGCTTTTTATCTTACATTCACTCTTCATTGTTGGCTTTTTATATTATATTTACTCTTCATTGTTGGCTTTTTATCTTACATTCATTCTTCATTGTTGGCTTTTTATATTACATTTACTATTCATTGTTGGCTTTTTATCTTACATTCACTCTGTTGGCTTTTTATATTACATTTACTCTTCATTGTTGGCTTTTTATCTTACATTCACTCTTCATTGTTGGCTTTTTATATTATATTTACTCTTCATTGTTGGCTTTTTATCTTACATTAATTCTTCATTGTTGGCCTTTTATATTACATTTACTCTTCATTGTTGGCTTTTTATCTTACATTCATTCTTCATTGTTGGCTTTTTATATCATATTTACTCTTCATTGTTGGCTTTTTATCTTACATTCATTCTTCATTGTTGGCTTTTTATATTATATTTACTCTTCATTGTTGGCTTTTTATCTTACATTTATTCTTCATTGTTGGCTTTTTTATTATATTTACTCTTCATTGTTGGCTTTTTATCTTACATTTATTCTTCATTGTTGGCTTTTTATCTTACATTTATTCTTCATTGATGGCTTTTTATATTACATTCACTCTTCATTGTTGGCTTTTTATCTTACATTCAATCTTCATTGTTGGCTTTTTATATCATATTTACTCTTCATTGTTGGCTTTTTATCTTACATTCATTCTTCATTGTTGGCTTTTTATATTATACTAATGATGATGCGCGCGCATCCGTGACAGCGATGAGGAATTGAGGAAAGACGGTCGTGACTATATATGTTGATAATCCAAATTGTACCTTATCATTAGATTTGGTCTTATTACCTTCTGCTTCTAATCTATATTCCAAATTGTACCTTTTCAGTAGATTTGGTCTTATTACCTTCTAATCTATAATCCAAATTATTTGGATAATGATAATGATCATAATGATGATGCGCGCGCATCCGTGACAGAACCGGCCGGCCGGCCAGCCGGCCAGCCCGCCCATGACGGTCGTGACTATATATGTTGACTAGACGAATGGCCCGGGCAACGCCCGGGTTTTACCCGAGTGCGTATATATTTTAAAAATGTTTTAATTAAAATACTATTCGTTACAATTATAAATTGGCGCCGTGGATGTCTCTCTTGTGAAACGTCCCGCCCCAAACTGTGTGTGTCTTGAAAATATAAAAATAAAAATGTGAACGGAAAAATATGTCCAGGGTAGCCTAGTGCTCATGACATCAGCCCGGTAAGCGGAAGGTCGTGGGTTCGATTCCCATCCCTTGACACTTTTTTATTTTATCCATTCTGACCAAAATCTATCCGTGAACTTCACACAGTGAACTTCACACAGACAGAATAAGGCAATTATATAAGTAGATACTCCAAATATGCCTTATCACACACTATTTTTTTTATTTGGCCTTATTACCTTGTGTTTATAATCTATGACGTAATGCCGGTGGCGCGCGCCCGTTGGCTGCCGGCGAGCACGTGACCTCCCTGTGCGCGCGCATCCGTGACAGCGGCCGATGAGGAATTGAGGAAAGAGGGTTGTGACTATATAATAATAATATAATAATAATAATATTTTATTTTATTCTCCAAAAGGTTACAAGTTTTTCTCTAAAAAGTGTAGCGAATGGTCAGTCTATTTACATATTTTTATTTACAACTTCAATAAATGACAACAGTAAAAGTAAACAAAGATATTTACATTTGCTATCATGACTCCTGGTCAGTGCTGTGGCCATTGCCGTTATGGTCCCCTGATGTCCTGCAGCTCTCCAGCAGTCTTTCTATGGCCTCTACTAGTGGCTCCTCGATAAGATGGACCCCTGGCCTTGATCCATTCTTGTCTGTCAGGTCTCCTGTCATCTGCTCTAGGTCGTTCTCCTGGATCTCTTCTATGGTCGTCGTATCCCTGTGCTCCATGTCCGGTGTTCCACTTTCCTCGTCATCACATGCCAGCTCCCTACATCGTTCCAACAATCTATCCATGGCTTCCATTTCTTTATTTCTCTGTAACTTATCGTAAGGTTCATTCTTCTTTTCTGTTGTGATAATTTCCATCGTCTTTTTTAGCACCAGGGATTGAATATATGCAAAGTCCCTTTTTCTTATGTTTATTTCCTTCCTGTATTGTTTGTTATATTTGGTTACTATTCCATCCCATGTTAAGACTATCGGCACTACTTTTACGGGCATTTTTTCAGTTTGGGACATTTCCCTCGCCAGTAGCTGGTATTTTCTTTTCTTTGTCAGCTCCGTAGTTTGGATATTGTCTTGGGAGGTAACCCCTATCTCTATGATTGTTATGTCTTTTTTTATTTTGTCATATACTATTATATCAGGTTTGTTAGCTCTGATATTGATATCGCTTATCATTGGCAGGTCCGTTATTATCTTGGCGTATGAATTTTCAATCTTAGTCGTTATCTTGTGGAGCTTTATCTTCTTGTTCTCTGTGAAATTATATTTTCTTGCCAAGTTGAAGTGGACGCATCTCACCACTTCATTATGCCTCTCAGTGTAGTCGTAAGGAAGCAATCTTCCACAGTTTGTAGCAAGGTGGTCCACCGTCCTCTGTACCTTTTAACAGTGAGGGCATTTCAGGTTCTTATCCTTCGGGAACACGTTTCTATCTTGTATGAACATGTAGAATCCTTCATTTTGTGGTGTGTTGTTTCCCGTTTTGAGCCACTGTGAGGATTCTATCATGTCCAATAGCGGTTGGTCTTCATTTTTAAAGAATGTTCTGTGGATTATTTTCTGGCCAATGATTTCTCTTAGATTTTCAATCTGTTTTTCTTTCAGAGTTTTCATTGTGATGTTTTGGGCTTCTATTTTGTACTTGTTTTCTATAATTAGTTGGATGTGCGTGAGCATTGTGTTTTCGCCCTGTTCACACGCTTTAATGGCTTCCTTTCTTTTTGTTGTCTCCCCCCCAAATATATACTTGTAGAGGCTTAGCAGAATTCTTTCGTTTTTTTGGACCAAGTTCACCAATCCTCTTCCCATTTCTTCGCGTTGAAGATATAATCTTTCTTTATTTGCTGGCTTAAGATGGATTTTGAATTTGCTCAGCGTTGTTCTCACCTTTTGGTCCAACATTTCTAGTTCTCGCTCACTAAACTCCACGATTCCAACGTAGTAGTTTATGAGCGAGAGCGAAAATTCGTTGAAAGCAGCGAAGAGGTTTTTAGCGTTCAGCTTGGTTTCCGCTAAAGATTCCATTCTGGATACTATTTCTCTTTTTATTCTCTCTTTATTTTCTGGGACGACTGCGCTGGTGTTATCCTCTAGAACACCTAAATATTTATATGTTTCTTTTTCTGCCAGTGTCCCAAATTCCTGAATTTCTGTGGAGTTTGTCGCTGTTTTTATCGGGTTGATTTTGAAGCCTATATTATTCAAAAGCTGAGTTGTCTTGTTCGCTAAGAACTCAAGATCCTTGTCGCTATAGGAAAATATTTTTATGTCGTCTATAAACAATAGGTGATTTATTTTAATTTTTTCCTCTCCCACTCTCATCTCCACTTGGGGACTGTCTTCTTTGTTGAGCTCCCTTGTTATCGGCTCGAGGCACATGACGAAGAATAGAGGTGATAGCCCATCTCCCTGCAATATTCCTCTTTCTATTTTCACTGTTTTGAGGCACTGCTTGCCATAGTACAACTGTGCTTGCCATTTGTCTAGGACAATTTTTGCGAATTGTTGAATTTCTTTTGGAACTCTTAATGTTTCCAATATCTTAAGCAAGTATTTGTGGTCGATGCTGTCGAAAGCTTTCGCTATGTCGATCCACATGGTTTTCAGTTTATTTGCGTGTTCTTTGCATATAGCTTTGTTTAATAAGACCTGTTCCTTGGCGCCTTGAGTTCGCTGCGTCGTTCCTATCTGATTGATAGACAGATATCGTTCCTTATCTATGTATTTGTTCAGCTTTCTAGATAATATCCGCGTGATTAATTTGTACAGGTTGCTCATGCAACTTATGGGGCGGTAGTTG